ATATAGATGAATACGTATATGTATATGTATATGTATATGTATATATGTATATGTATATGTATATGTATATTTATATATATATATATGTGTAAATAAATACGTAGATATTTGTTAAAAAGTGAGAATTGAATCTGTGCCCAAAAAGGCATTATCTTAGATAGTCACACATCCTTTCCACTGTGCTACTGATGCTGTAGAAGTTTTGAAAAATAATTATATAAACTAAATTTTGATATTGGGTGGCAGGCAAGAGCGTCAGATTTAGTGGTGGCAGGCGAGAGTCGCAGTGATAGTGGTCGCAAAACCCGGTCATAATAATAAATACCCTACTGTTGACTAAAAAACTCTATATATGTAGTCTACACTCTACAGTATAAATACAATCTACAGACTACACTCTACTGTCTACACTCAAGAGTCCAGAGAGAGAGAGAGAGACTCTCTCTAATAGTATTTTTGTCTCTCAGAGACTCACAATAGGTCTCTACTACTAGTCCACTATTTACTGGTATTTTTGTTTTTATTTATTAGGCCCTGTTCTGCAACTCAACATGAAAATGTCAATTTTTGAAAAAGTACATTTTAGACCGGTTTTATATTTTAAGATTTTCATTTTAATTAAAATGGGTACAACATCATTCTCAAAAATATTTGAGTTCCTTATATACTTTTGAAAAACGGCCATTATTTCCAACCGTCGATTTTTACGCCAACGGCAGCTTTTTTACGTAAACATCCAAAAATAGAAAGAGCAAAAACGAAACCGCGCCATTTCTCAAAACGCGCCATGTATCGTTTTGTTCGTGCTGCTAACTGTTGAGATTTTTCGTTTCATTATCGTTAGAATATATGTATAGTCGTATTCTGCAAGTGTCACACCATTTATCAGCCACAATGAGTGCAAACCCATCTCACGCGCCTAGATCCATGGATTCTCTTGTAGAGGAGGATGAGGTCACTGGGACTGAATCGGCTGAAGATTTGTCTGACGTGGCTGATCAAAATAGCCATATATCTACATTTCACATTGTCATTGTGCACATTATTTCCATGCACGTTACTTTTCATAATTCGTATAGCAACGCGCCCTTTTCCACGAAAGAACGAATCATATTACATAGTGATCAACCATACATATCGCCGATTCTATTTTTGAAAGAGTATTTGTACAGTTTCAAAAGAAATTTTATGTGAATTCAAAGAAATGGTCATTCCTTTTTACAAAAACAGCTTTTGAAACTTTTGTAAAAAAGCGATTATAGATGTTCAAAAAAGGTGATTTTGGAAGTATGGACATTATTCAAGTTTGAGTTGCAATACGATTTTTTGAGAAGTTGCCCATTTTGAATTTTGAAAAATGCTCTTTTTTGCAAAAAAAAAAAATGAACATTTTCGTCGAAAATGGCAGTAATATTGAGTTACAGAACAGGGCCTTAGTAAATAGCTAAAAAGAGACAACTCTCTCTACTAGTCTATAAATACTAGCTCTCTGCTCTACACAGAGAGAGAGAGCGAGACAGTAGACAATACTAAATTAGTGTAAATCTTCCAAGAAATAGCTTTTATCTAGACTGAAAATATATTGATGATGCACGATTCTATTTTTATATTTTATGCGTGTGTGCGTAAAACATCGTAAATTTGACCTATAACCTTTAAAAGCTGAAAGCTGATAGGCACGATAAGTAACTATGGTGGAAAAGCGGGCATCTAACAGGCACGAGGACGAACCGAAGAAGAAAGTGAAGTACACAGACGCGTGTGCATGTGGTATAAGAAACTGTATCAAGCCAGGTGACGGGATTATATCATTACCTAAAGCACTAAAACCACATATAGAACAGCATATCAAAAAGGCAGACGTCGATGTTAGATGCTGGCAAAACCCTACGGCTACACCAGAAATAGTACAGGCTTTGCTTGACAAGCGTGGCGGGAAAGGGCAGAAGAATCATGCGCCCGCTAATGCCAAGCATTTCAAGCGAAGTGAGATTACGTTTAAAGGTGACTACAAAATATTTGCAAACCCAGGTGCAATACCGTTTAAAGAGTTTCAATGGGACAAAGACTACCAGCTTGAATGTGTGACTAAGTTGACCACGATAACTGGTGGTGTTATCAAGTGTATATGTACATTGGGTGAGGACGAATGTGGAGAGAATATAAAGTTTCATAGTGGGCATGAGTTGCCGCGAAACAAGAAGAGAGCGAATATGTTTGTCAGAAAAGTTGTGTTGGATGCTAAACTTATTAAGCAGTACAACAAACAAATAAATGATGCGACTAGTGGTTGCAACTTGTTTATTCACAGGCGACATTTTACTAGTGATCATTACGCCGATACGGGCAAGAGCGTCATACTTAAAAGCGATGCCGTACCATCGTTCCATGTGAACTTAGATGTGATTTCACAAACTCGAGCATGCCCAGAAGAGAAGAAGGCGATAGGGAGTCTAGTATGTGTACAATATAACATTGCTACTAGCAGTGGAAAGTCAAAGATGAAGAATGACATTATGACCACTTCCAAAGCTAGTGACATCTTAACACCGCTATTACATGAACAGAGAAACCGTATACGTGCATAGTAAAGAAAACAGCAATACTCTGAGGGATTGTGAGGCTTGGACATTGCCTATATATAATCCATCAGTACTGTTTTCGCCGAAGGGATTTTATTTAGTGTTTCGTTGTCGCTCTATTAGAAACTATGGTATGTTTCACTGGGGCGAATTCGAGAGACTCATAAGATCCTATCTTTAGAAGAAGAAAATAGAAGAAGAAAAATACTCCTGATGTCCATAGTTATTGCACTAGCCAATAACTTGCCACTTATCAAGAATTAGCGACTTAGCCTTCATCAGACTGGCACATTTGGTTGGCTCAACGGAAGATTAATTAAGTAACGCAAATAGTCCTTAGAAACTTATGTTCGGTTGAGCCATCTCGCTACCGAAGCATTCAGATATAAATAGATTTGGAAAGTAAACATAATTCTATTAATAGAACTAGACCAAATATTATGTTTGATATTTTACTGGGGCCTTTTAATGGCCTTGTCTAAATATTTGATATGTAAAATGGAAAAGGTATTTAATTAATAAAAAACGTTAAGACCCATTTAAGAGTTTACGTACTTTTAAGAGTACGTTTTACTTAATATTAAGAGTACGTTTATATTACAAGATTATAATGTGGAGGCCCGGCTTTTACACAGCTCCCACCCAGCTTTGAGACCCAGGAGAAGCAAGTTGCTCACTCAAGCTGATTATGGGTCAAAAAAGCGAGAAAGGAAAACGAGTCGAAAACATTAAGTAGCATAACGTATAGTTAATGTTTCTCAGGCGGAGAAGTTGAGCGTTCTCGGTTACCCTGTGAGTTTTAAGTTTAGGTCCAGTAGGTCCGTGGTGGTCGACTGGACGTTTCTTACGCTTCAATGTTTTTGGAACATACGAAGGATGAGTAGTAAAGCTCGGGATAAACGCTGCTGGTAGGTAATTTTTAACTTCCGTGCCTTCAGACGATGGGAACAAGCTATCTTTTTCAGCCTGTGACTTATGTAGGAGTTTATGCCATTTTCTGTTAAAGGCCTTTAAATAGTCCTGATTGTCAAAAGCATCTGAAGTCAACTCAGCGATTGTACCGTCTATATAGCGTGTACGATAGTATGTATATCCTCCTTTATCCGTTCTCCATATTATACCTTTGGATTCGGAGCGGTCAAGAGGTGCAGTAGAATTATGTCTTCTTGCGTAGTCGGAATCCTACTAGGGATATTATTATTTATTTCAAAAATGGCAAGTATGTATGATACAATGTATGAACATATGGTATGGCTCTCATAGTCGCTTTAGTGGTTCAGGAAAGATTGATGGGAAGAAGTGGTCAGTAAATTCCCGTTTGAAGCTTGGACCAAGTGAGTCGACAATGAAAGATATGTGCTGGGTCGATTCGGGCCGGTGTTGACAAAGCACTGTTACTATCGAATGTTCCATCTATTCGCTTGCTGACCTACTAAGTAGAATATCCACCTCTGTGGTACTGGGTCTGCGCCGTGTAGTGCCGCGGAATGGGTTAGTGTGGAGTACGAAATACCGAGAAGGACCAGGTTATCCGTCATAATCCGGTCGAGAAGCGAGGATGGGGGTAAGCCAATGCTGCACCAGACCACGGATGAATTTGGTATGTGTTGGCTGGCCTGGATCAGAAGTATCATAGTCGGAACCAACAAGCGCGATGATTTAGTTTGAACCGATATTTGGAAGTGGTACGTCAACCGCGTGATTAGCCGGGGTATGGAGAACATCTGTTGATGTGTCAGGGACGGGTGAGGGTACGGTGGTTTTTCAACATGCTGGATAAAAGATCCAAGGTGTTCGTGGAAGGTCCAGATACCGTGGAAGTCGTGGCACTCCTGTAATTGCTGAAGGAGGTCGGGGCTAATGGGCGGCAGTTTTGGGCCTACCAGAATGCGTCGAATCAGTTGTTAGATGCAGGTAAAGTGGCTGGTAATGAACTTGTGGCTACCGGGGCAGACAGGGCAGAGACAGCCGTCGGTGCGGTAGTCGAGCAGTAGACTAGAAGCAGCGATTGAAGCTGTCGTGTCTGGCTGTGTCTCGGTTTTGAGGTTGGCGGTTTACCCATAACCAGTTGGTAGTAGTATTGGCGCCGGGCTATTGCCGCGATCTCCTTGTTGGGCCAACGTTTTGTTGAGTTCTTCCTGATGTCGTCACAGCGTTGGCAGAGGGCTACATGGTCGGGTGTACGCCCGCCCGTGGCTTTGTGTACAGTTTTCAGGTGAGCATAGATACTGTAAGGGAGGATACA